AGAAGTAATACAGGTAGACCATGCCCAAATGTAAGAAAAAGATATGAGTTTTGGCAATATTTTCCTCTAAAACATCTCAGGTAGAAGATACAAACTAAAAGATGCTGCAGACTTTATCCTGAGGATCAAAAAAAAAAAAAAAATTATAATGTTTACCTCATCCAAGAGCTCCAGGAGTCTGTTCCGAATCTGTTCTGGGTTCTCAATATTTGGATCCTTGAGAAGCTGCCTGAATTTCTCAATCACCTGATAGAAAGCATTCTTCCACAGGATCTGATCTACATTCTGATTGTCAGAGAATTCAATATCTAATAGAATACAGCGCTCATACAGCTGCAGTAGTTCAGTTCTGGAATAAAATACATATAATGTCTAGCTCCAATACATCACAAGGAAGGCTAGGCCCAAGATATGAACGTCCTGCAAACCAGCCAACTCACTCCTGACAAGAAATCTGAAATGTAACCAGGTATCCTACTCATACTGGGTTCTATTCTGCACAACAGAATATCATTCCAAAGACATTTATGCCTAGGAAAACAGCACATGTGCACACCTACATTGAAGAGCTGAAATAAGTTCTTTGGTACAAGTTGGAAACTGGCATTCTAGAAATCCCATGTTCCCTTAAAGACACGTTTTTTTCCCCTTAAAATCAGAAGTATACTTATTTCTAAGACTAGAATGAAATCTTCTTTTCCCAACTGCCTGTTCCTTATAAAAACCAATGTAAAAGGGCTTCAAGTGTGGCTCAGTGGTAGGTCACTTATTCCAAGGGGCTCTAAGCTCTAGGCTTAATGCCCATGCCCAAGTGGGGTGGGGAGGGGCAGAGATCCCTGTGGAAGGGAGGTAACACTCAGGGGCTTACCTAAGAAGTCTCTACCTTCCTCAGCCACAGGAGCCTTACAACTGTCCGTTTCCCTCTAAGCAAGATAGTAAGTAGGAAAACACACACAATACCTGAGCTGAGCCATCTTCTCCATGCCCTCAGTACTGATGCGGTCCCTGGAAAGCAGGTTGCTAAGCTGCAATTCCTGGTTGTCAGCCACTCGGAGAAGCCTATGTAGCTCCTGCTGCTGCATGTTCCGCACGTGCTGCTCTATCTCCTCAGGGCTCATGGTACTGGCAGGGAGAGGACTACATACATACTGTCCTGAGGGGGCAGGATAGCCTGGGTAGTAAGGCCCTGGATACATGCCATTTGCAGGGCCCACCGGGTACTGCAGAGGGCTATAGCCTGTATAGGGATACTGAGAGGTAGGGCCTGGTGTCCGAGGGTAGTAATAGGGGTTGTCAGAGTTTTGAAATTTATAGTAAGATGCTTGGGCCTGACGTGAGTCACCCCAAGATGTAGGGCTGATTTCATCATCAGTGTCCAAGAAATGTAGCTGGGGTGTTTGGCTTTTCAGAGCAGGCTTCTGATCAGGATTATTTGGGTCCCATAGTCGGCGGGTAGTGCCTCCACGGCCCCAACTCCGAGATCCCTTAGTACCAGATCCAAATAAAAGTCGAGGTCCCAAAGGTGTAGACTCTGGAGAGCCCACTGAACTGACAGATAGGGCAGTATGGGCTGGCAGAATCAGAATGCCGCGACCACGACCTCGAAGTTCTTGGTTCGGGTTTTTGAACTCCTGCTTCTCAGAGCCCTTGCCCCCACTGCTCGGGCCTTTGTCAGACTTTATTCTTTCCACACTCTCCCTGGCTGACCTCACCATGGGGGAATCTTTACTCATGGTTTCTGCATCAAAAGTGACTCGAAGGGTCCCTCGGTTTTCTTTACCGTTGCTTTTCTGTTCACCCTCGCCTCGGCCAGACCAATTTCTTTCTAAATGCTTCTTCCTTTCTGAGCTCCTCCTGGGCCCTAAACCATCAGGCTCATCAACTCTGTCCTCATCTAAGGAATCAGTCGAGGACATAGACACCTGCTTCTTCAGTCGTGGCCTCTCCTTGGTCCGATCCTGGCGCCGTCGGCGACATCCACTATCGGCCAGGCCAGCTCCCTCAGCACTATTGTTGCTACCAGCTGAGCTGGTACTACAAGTGCGGTAGCGGTTCCTTCGTTTGTCTGATCGGGAGTACCGCTTTACAGAGCCTGGTTTCCCCTGGACAGAGTCGTCATTCACCTTCTTCATCCCCTCCCCCTTCTCCATCTTTTTTCCCTTTTCTCCCTTGGCAGTTCTGGCTCGGTCATTAGTTTGGGTCTTTTCTGTCTCAGCCTTGTCTGGTTTATTCTCAGCTTCTTCTTTTACAACTTTTCCCTTACACTCACCCTCTTCAATCCTCAACTGCTCCACTTGGTTAAGAATTTCTTCCTCATCTGCCCTGCTAGCTGACTCTTTGGTTACGGTCTGCAAACGCCTTCCAGGCTGATAGATCTGCAGGTCAGGTTTCTTAATTCTCTTGATGATTCTTAGACTCCGGTCCTCTAGTCCACCAGTCTTTGAGAAATTCTCCTGTGCCTGGCGATTTTCTGGATCTGTAGGACCATTTTGCTGTTGGCTGTCCAATTCCTTGCAAACTTTAATAAGCTGTGTATCATTCACAACAGAAGAATCTCTGTCGTTCACAATCTCATCCTTAAATTCCTCACTCCCAGAAGCCTCCTTAGTTTTAGGTCTGTTCCTTAGTCGAGAAAGTCCAGGCTTATAGATTTCCAAATCAGGGCGCCTATTATCTTTGCGCTGCCTGGGTTCCTTTAATTCCTTCATGTTTTCTAGTATGTTGATAGGAGGAAACACAGAAGAAAAGAATAATGGGAGAAGAGAGGGAGGAAAAGTTGTCATTCTAGTTACATAACCACAATAACATCAACAAAAAATGAGCAAGAATTACATACCCAAATACTAATATTGGTGGGCAGGGAAGAATGTTTCCACAAAGACAGAAAATTGGAGTTGTGTTCAGTAACCAGTGAGGCTAAGAATTTAACTGTGTTAGAGTTACATGTACTTGAGTTATGGAAATGGGGGGGGGGGTGGTTAATATTCTCTTGACCTACCCAAGTCATACTTATATATTCAGATCTCAAAGACCCAAAACTACTTCATTATATCAGAATCAAAGATCTCTAACATGTTCAGCCATTAACTATCCTGTCCATACAGCCTACAAGTTAACTCTTTCTTTTCTCTTTCTTCTTTCTTTTTCTTTTTTGGGAGTCAGGGTCTCACTATACAGTCCAGAAAGATGTCAAAATCACAGTCCTCCAGCCTCAGCCATCCAAGTTCTGGAATTGCAGGAGTGTATAATCACACCTAGTTTAGTCTCTCCTCTCCTGTCTGTAACATTTTTCTAGGGTGGCTAAATTATTTTACTATTATTAGGAGGGGGCTCAGTGGGACAACATTTGCCTAGCACACAGGAGGCCACTAGGGGTAACCCCTAGCATTGCACAAACATATTTACTGGAATATATGTTTTATGTATTACATCAATATATTTACTTACTACATTACATATGTAAACATATATTTACACATACATACATGTATTTGAGGAGGATCTCTGGGAAAGTAACTGCAACTCCAGTGTGGGAACCTGAGCAGGGCAAATCTACAACTTTAGGATACCAATACCCCAATCATATACCTCCTACTGAAGCAAACAGGAAGCAGTTCCTTTTACAATCTTCAACTCCACTCATCCTCACCAACTCTTTAACAAGAACCAGCAGAATCATTTCAAGAAAATACTGCCTAGAATACTGAGACTAACTGCTACTATGATGATAGAATATACGGGGAAAAAAGTTCCATCAGAGGAGCTTTTCCTAGGCACCAACGGAAGGATTGTGACATGCTCTCAAAGCACCAAAGGACGAAGGGACTCAAGAACACCAGAACCGAGGCCAGTTCATGCCTACAAATCCTAGCACCTAGAGAGTGACAGCAAAATCAAGAGTGCAAGGCCGTCCTCAGCGACCACGAGTTGGGAACCTACTTGGGCTAGATGAGATCCTGACTCGAAAAACAAAGGAAGAAAGAAAAGAACAAGAGTAGAGGAGTTTATAAACCACTCTCCAAGCTCCACGAACTTACTGAATGATAAACAGTTTTTTTTTTCCCGTAAGTGTCTGCTGCTCAGAGTGGAGAGACAACTACAAATAATCACTAAATGTTTAACAAGACAGTGACAGGAAATGGTGAGAATATTACCCAGTGCTCAAGTTACATACAATCCTAGAACCTAACTATAACATAAACACAAGCTGAAAGCGGGTATTTATGCTCCGACATCGACACCCACTTGTGTTAGTAGGGAGAGAGAAAGGAAAATGAAGTGAAACTGACATTTTAGATACTGCTTTGGAAGTTGGGTGTGGTGGCACATGCCTGAAGTTCCAGCACTCGGAGGCTGAGACAGAAGGATCCCAAACTCAAGGCCAGGCTGGGTTACACAGTAAGTTCCAGGCCAGTCTTGGCTACAAGGTGAGAGGCTGTGTCTCAAAAGAAAAACAACAAAAAGATACTGCTGCTCTGGCCAAAGTTTAGCCTCTCCATCAATACGAGCCAAGATAAAGCCGATGGACCTCAGCACCCTCCGTCAACTTTTAAACTTAGTTTGGGGGCGGAGCCAGGGGAGGTGGTGACTACTATTTTCCAGAGCAGTGAGAGAAAACAACCTGCTTAATCCGATTCAGCTGGCCAAAGCACAGTAACCTCACGGATTCTAGCCACGATCCTAGAAGAGGCACCAACTGTAACAGTCATCAGAAACAACACTGACGAAGGAAGGGGAGTGAGACACTAAAATAGTTCTCGCGCTTTTCTGATGCGCACGGAGACTGGCAAATGAAGCATTCTCTCTGACCAGAACTGCTCTCATACACGCCAAGACCCAAACAAAACAGAGGCAGCTCCCTGGGGTCCTGGATCCCTCCAGTGGCGTACCATTGGAAGCCTGCCTTCGGGGGCGAAAAGTTGAGCAAGGAAGTCCCAGCCTGTTAAGCCTTTCTCCTCAATTTCTCCAGCTCCTCCTCTCCGACTCGGAACGGAGGGCTACGGGGGTACGCAGACGATTCTTTAGGGAACCCTCTGTCCTGGGGCCTCTACCGGACCCCAGCACCCACGCCACTTCGTATCTCCTCACGACTGAATCCAGGGGCCGGCGACAGAAGGGGGAACCACCACAGCCGCGGCGGTGAGCAAAAGGGTGGAGGCAGGAACTCGCGCTGGGCTTCTGCCCCGCAAGGCCCGAGTGAGCAGAGACCCAGCCCGCAGGCTCCCAGGGGCCGCCGCCTCAGGCCCCGGGGCGCACTGTTGGGGGAAGGGGCGGGGGCTGCGAGCGCCACGGACGGGGCGGGGAGGAGGCAGAGGAGAGGGAGGCGGGGCGGGCAGGCCCGGCCCAGCAGCTGGGCGGCGCAACTCACCTCTGCTCCCGGCCTGCGGAGCCAGAGTGGCCAGGATCCCTCGCAGCTCGGACGCGGAGATCCGCACACGCTCCAACCCCTCCGCCATCTTCGCGGCGGCTGCTTACAGCTGCTGCGACTCCGCCACCGCCGCGCGCAGCCAGGAAACCACGACGGACGGGCGGCGCGCGCTCACCCACTCCCACCCTTTTCCCCGCCCCCTCCTGTCGCCCTCCCCCAAGCGACGGTGGCCGCACTGGGAGCAAAAGCATCCGGCACGTCCAACGAGGGCCATGCCGGAGCCTGCGCTCGGCCCCCGCGGGGACGGCGTGTGCGCGTGCGCTTGCGCAGAGGTGTAACGCTGGAAGGTAACGCTGAGGCTTTGGAGGTGGAGGCGCGGCGCCCGGAAGGTGAGGTGAGGCGAGGTGAGGCGAGGGCAGGTGCGGCTCGCCCACACCAAGTGGGCATCCGCGCCTAGGGATGCCGGTATTGCTGTGGTGGCCACAGACGACACTGCTTTTGGTCTAGGGCTCGGGTTGACGGAGACACCCCACAATCCGGCCTCCTCCGATCATTTTAGGCCGAAGGAAGCCTCCTTATAATAGGCCTGGATTGTTGGGGCTTAAAGGTCTTTTAACAACCATTATTATTATCCCCATTTCTGATCAGCTGAACCTCAGAGAATGGAAGCGGTAAATTGCCGCGTGTGACAATTGGTTGTACCAGAATATCAAAGTCCAGGACTAAGTTCATCCCTAAGACTTGCTGGAGGGGTTTGTGTGGAACTAAAACAGAAGGAAATTATCATTCGACCTGGCAGTTTCTGTAACACGGAAATTTTTTTAATTATGGTTTTAGAACTCAGGTTTATTCTCCCCGCTCTCCATCTTTCCATCTTTAAATATTCACTGAGGCTAGTAGAGGTAGTTCATTCCTGTATTTGAGAGGCTGAGACAGGAGGATGGCAAGTTCAAGACCAGCTTGGACAGCAGCACATTTGAGGCCAGTCAGGGCAGCATATTAGAAGACCTTACCCCGCCCCCCCCCAAAAAAAAAACAACAAAGAATTCATTAGACTCGAAGATTGGAGCTTTAGCCTCGTTAACCATGAGCTCCTATTAAAAACTGGGGAGGAGAAACTCCCTACCCAAAGGATGCCTCTCCACCTGTTGCTCCTTCCTTGGAACTTTAGACCCTCAAAAAATAGTAACCAGTTATTCCTTGATCACAGTATAAAAGATTTGATCCTGAAAGAACTCATTCAGTTCCTGTTTTGTGACAGATACTTTGCCATTAGAAAAGAAAGACAGTGACTGGGAAATATTTCAACGGCTCAAGGGGTTATAATTAGAGTGACCAGAGCATATGGCAGCCTTTGCCCAAAGATTTGAGAAAAATAGGAAATAAAAAAAGGCCTGGCATGATGGCACACGCCTGTAACTCCAGCACTTGGGAGGAAGGTCCAAGTTCATTGCTGTCCTCCACCATTGAGTTCAAGGCCAAACCAAAGTACCTGAGGCCCTGAGTAAGCCAGACATGGTGGCACATGCCTATAATCCTAGCACCAGGGATACAGAGGCAGGAGGATCTCTTCAAGTTCAAAGCCAGCTTGGTCTACATAAGTGAGTTCTAGGCCAGCTACAGCAAGACCTGTCTGAAAACAATAACAACAGGAAAAAAATTTTAAACCCCTACTTGAAGCTGATACACATCTCTAATCACATGACTTTGGATGCTAAAGCAGGAAGATACAAGAGTTCCAGATCAGCCAGAGCTTAAGGTCTTCCTTGGCTATGTTCCAGGCCAGCTTGGATTACATGAGACCATACCTTAAAAAAAAAACAAAAACAAAAAAATCCCTAATGCCACATACACTAAGTGTGGTGGCAGAAGCCTGTAATCCCAGCACTTGCAAAGTACAAGGAGAAGGACTCAAAGTTCAAGGTCGTCCTTGACTACATAGCCAGTTGAAAGCCAATATGGGGATGGGGGCAAGTAATCTACTTTCCAGTTGAAGACCTCAGTTTGAAGATTGTTTGGTTTTGTTTACTTTTGTTGAGGCAAGGTCTATTGTTTCCAGGCTGGTCTTGAAGTCCTTATGTAGCAAAGGGTAGCCTTGAATTTCTAACACTCCTGAAAGATGGGATTACAGATGTGGTCCTATATTGATGTGCCGGGTTGATGTCGTTCTGAGGATTGAACTAGGGCCTGGTACAGGTTGAGCAAGCATCCTACTGACTGAATTATCTCCCTAGCTCCAACTTTCATTTATTCATTTATTTATTTTCCAGTCTATAACTCATGATTTTTTTTTTTAGGATTTTTCTCACTTTTAATCATATGTATGTGTCTGTGTACGCATACATGCACGTGAGTGCAGTACCTGAGGAAGCCAGGGGGCATTGGATCCCCTCTGCAGCTAAAGGTACAGGTGGTTCCAAGCCACCTGATGGGGGTTCTGGGAACTGAAGTCCACTCCCCCACAAAAGCAGTACTTGTTTTTATTTTTTTGGTTTTTCGAGACAGGGTTTCTCTATGTAGCTTTGCACCTTTCCTGGAACTCACTCGGTAGCCCAGGCTGGCCTCGAACTCACAGAGATCCGCCTGCCTCTGCCTCCCCAGTGCTGGGATTAAAGGCGATTTTTTTTTTTTTTTTTAAAGAAGGGAAAATAATTTGAAAGAAGAAAACTTCCCCAGGACAGCCATGTCCAACTTAATTCAGTACTGTCTATGATCAGACCAGAGAGCCTCTTAAGTATTAAAACAGAACTCAGAAATTTACCAGAACTCAGGGAAAACACAACAAATACATAAGGATGAGTGATTATGGAGCATGGGTCCAAAAAATTAATAATACAAATGCCAAAATATGGTAGCTGGCTGAGGAAGAGTCAACAACAGTCAGGTTACAGAAAAAAGCTTTTTTTTTTTTTTTTTTTTTTTTTTTTTAGACAGTTTTTCTGCGTAGCTTTGTGCCTGTCCTAGAACTCACTCTTTTTTTTTTAGTTTTTT